GTATTTGTATGTGAGCGGTTGTTGTTGTTTTTTTTTTTTTTTTTTTTTTTTGCTATTCTGAATATAGTTAAGCAATAACAAAATAAAAAAATAAAGGATTAGCGCCAAAATCCCAAAAAGGTTTTTGGCATTACTGTAAATACGCTTTGCAGTTGTGCCCCAAATCGAAAGACGCTTACGCATACATATACACAACATCGCCTAATAAAACACACTTACAAACTAAACACAATTCAACACGGTAAAAATAAAAGAGTCAGCGCGGAGGGCAAGTCCTTTGCCAAGGAACGGCAACTCTGGAACATTAGCAGTTCGACACCATGTAGAAAGAGAGAGAGAGAAAGTGTGGAGCGAGGGGTAGAGAAAGAGATATATTATATATATATATATATATATATATATATATATATATATATATATATATGCCTAGATGTGTAATGATAATTGATACATATAAAAAAATTACCTACAAATAACGAGAAGACGAACGAACGTTAATGAGAAAAAAGATACAAAAACAAAATAATTATAAAAATCAAAAACAAAAACAAAAGGAAAAAAAAAACAAAGGATTTGTTTCAAACAATTATTTGTGATTTTAATACATGAAATGATAAAGATAATGATAATGATAACGTTTATGCAAATGACTAGAGAGCCCTACGTTTAATAATATTATTCATACAGTACTATAATACAAAAAAAAAAAAAAAAAAAAAAAAACAAAAAATAAAGAATCATTTAAATTAACAGTTAGTGCTTTTACTTTGTTAACTGTAGCGAAAAAATAATACAAAAGAAATTTGAAAGTGAACAAGAACAAGAAAATGAAACAGGAAATATTTTAACAACATACAATTCATGCAGAAATACGCTATTATTATTTATGCAGAAATACAATTATTTACGTGTAAAAAATGCAAAATAAAACAAAAAAAAAAAAAACATAAAATACCAACAATTTGAACGATGTTTCTTCTTAGAATCTTCTTCGTATCGGCCAGATCTTTAGTCGGTCTCCCCTTCCAATTCTAAAGAGTACGCCAATTGCACATACTGCTCGCTTTAGTTCTGGCCTAATCACTATAACTAACTGTGCTCGTCGCATTAAACAAATTTGCGTAGTATCTGCGCGCGAGCATAGCCGTGCATTATTTATTTTACATTGTTTAAGCTATGTTATACAAACTAGAGGTGTCTTAGAATTTACGACGCTTGAGCAGCTCCGGCCGCCAGTTGATCGGATGCGTCTCCTCGTTGGCCTCGTCATCCTCCTTGTAGACCTTGATTGTTTTGTCGGCCTCGGCGGTGATGAGACGCGTTCCAGATTGATCGAAGCACAAGGCGAAAATGCCCGCCTCGCTGTCCATGGAGCCGGGCTGGACGGGCGCCTGGAAGCGCTGAAAATTGTAGCCGGTACGCCAGTCCCAAAAGAACATGGTGCCATTGTCACCGCCAGAGACCAGCACGCCATCCGAGTTGGCGGCCATGCAGTTAACGATTGCCGTGTGCCCAGAAATGTTCTGCACAAAGTTGCCCTCGGGACAGCGCCATTGTTTAATATTGTCGGGCGAGGCGGAGGCGAACATATACAGCGATGGATGCAGCACAATGCTGCGCACGGACTTCTTGTGATTGGTCAGCGTGCAGACGCTCTTGCCGGCAGCCAGATCCCACAAACGGACCGTGGAATCATGTGAGCCGGTTATAATCTGTGGATTTGTGGCCTGTGCTACCACGCTAGCGACAGTGTTTGTATGGCCCGTCAATGTGTGCACATTGGCCTTGGTGCGCATATCCCAAATGCGGGCCGTTGAGTCACGCCCGGATGTGGCGAGCACATCAATTGTTGGATGGAGTGCCAACGAATAGACGGCGGACAGATGGCCATGGTAATGTCGTATAACCTTGTTGTATTCCAGGTCCCAGCACTTCACCTGACGATCCTCACCGCAACTGAAAAGATACGGATGTTTTGCGCTAACCGCCACACCGCGCACGGTGCTCACGTGACCGGTTAGCGATAGCTTCAGTTTGCCGCTGGCCAAATCCCAAATCTTGATGACACGATCACCAGCGCCGGTGGCAAACCATTCGTTGCCCGGCTCCACAGCTATGCAACGCACCCAGCCCAAATGACCGGAAATGACACGCGATAGCTTCCATGGTGCATGCCACTTGGGCTTGGGTATGCTGGGCGCTTTCTTTGGTATCAGCTGCACATTGCTGGCTCCGCTGCTGCTTGGCATCGAAGCGCGCACTAATGAGTTATTCCCACTTAATGGCGTCTTTTCCTTGTCCCGATTGTATCTAACCAGGCTACCAGACTCTGTGCCCGCTGTGCCCAAATCCGAGCTCGCCATGCTGCCATCCGTAATGGCCAGAGGCTTGTCAATTTGTAATGCGGACATCTTTTTGGCGTCCATCGACTTGATGGCGCGGTCAAGCACCAAACCATAAGTGTCCCTTGCTTTTATTGAGCGTCTCAACTTCTCGCTGTAAAATTGTGCGAGTTGTAATTAAATGATGCGATCTTAGCGGCATTTTTACACTTACAGGCGGTCATCAATATCCGGCAAATTGCCCTGGTTTGATACAAACAGATCGTGTGTGCGTTTAAGCGAGCGGAATATAAGCGTATGCACACTGTGCTTTTGTACATCTTCCATTTTTATGTCAGTCAATCAATCGATCAGTCAATAAAATAGTTTATTTACACGAAAGCGCTAATGAAAACGTTTAATTTGCTGTTCCAAGTAAACGGAGACAGTATTTGCCATTCACACAAATTGCAATCGTTATCGATTGCCGCCAAGAGATTTCAGTATTTTTTTTTTTCAATTGCATGAGAAATTAAGCAAACTAATATGTTTCTTGCTTAATTATGTCAATTTATTAACATTTTTTATTTATTTAGCAACAAAATATGCATTTTGCCTATTACGTCACAAAAACGTGCCGACAGTCGGAAATACGGCGTGTGTAATCGAATGGAAATCGGCATAGTTGTTATCGAAACATTCGATATACGATAGCCACTGTGCTACAATTAAATTTTTAATTTACGTGACACTGAAACTGCTCAAATTCAGCTCTACAGATATATAGTCAACCCCCATGCAGCAACCCAATCAATTATAATGCTATGTTCATTCATTTCTGAAGCAAATATGTTTTTTTTTTTTTGTTTTCTTTCTTTTTTATTTCTAGTTAGCGGGAACCGGTGATCCTGAAGCTGCGTTACTCGATGATATAGATGAGGATGTGGGCGAAACGGATGCCGACGAAGCGCTGGCCGTGCCATGCGCATTTTCCTGAGCCGGAGAAGGTCTCGTGTTGAAAAACTGAGTGATCTGCAATTTCAAGATACACATTTTGCATTTGTGAAAGTCACAAATTTGTTGCTTGGCCTCTTACAATTCGTTTAATGTATTTGCACGCAGTATCGTTATCCGAACTGGAGACAACATTGTCCACCCTATAAGGCGGCGAGACGGTAACTTCGTTTAATATTTGTATGTTTGCTCCCTGCCAGGAAACTTCATTGTACTGCCATCAAAAATAGATTTAAAAAAACAAACACAATAAGACCATGTTAGGCTAGGTTGTTAAACAATGTATATTGACAGGCGGCTCACCCCAAGCTGTTTGGCTATCGCTCGATAGAGCTCTTGTGCTTCTGGACTCACATCGGCATTTTTGGACTTGAGATAGTCTTGCCGTCTCTCTACTGTTTTACGTAGGCGCATTTTAACCTAAAGCATATAGTTTAGGGAAGTTTTTCAATTAAATGCACACAAGAAATCTTTGCGGCTATGCTTACCTGTTCCAAGTTGAGCTTTTGAGGATCATCAATGAAGTTTCCATTGCATTCCTTGGTCACCTGCACGTTACTGCACAGCGATAGGTTCATCACATAAACATCACTCAGTTCTCCCGATGTTTTCGAGTGACATTCTGTTCGAGCAGGGAAAGGAAAAGAAGAAGAAAACAGAGACGCAGGCAAAGAATTCCGCAGGCAATGTAAGGTAACCAACTAAGAATGCTCAGAGATAAACACTCCAAATATATTATATAAACCATGTGACAACAATAATAATAATCAAAAAAAAATATAAAACGAACAACTTTCCCCTTGACAGCGCCAAGTGACATCGTTGTTATCGTTGTCGTCACAATTGTTAATTATTGTTTATAAAAAGGATACTCAATATAAGCATTTTTGTGTTGTGGTCGAACGCGAGCACCTCTCCCTCCACCTCCTCCTTAAAACAGGTCGTACAGAGCACTGTGGATCCGATACTGAAGCAGTCGTTCACTGCATTAACAACGTCGGCGGTGGCAGCGGCCATTTTTAATTGTTGCTGTCGCTGCAACTCTTAAACAACTCCCGATTTGATATTGACAACAGACGATAAATATCTATATTTGTATTTGTATTTATATATATATTTATATATATATAATGTATATTTGCTTGCAATATGGACCGGAGTGTTGCAGTTTAAAAGCAAGTTGAAAATGTGTTTTCAATGCTTCTGTTGATGCTGCGCTAGTAGATGAGTCTTGTTGTGCCTGCTGCTGCTTGCAATTGTTTACACAATAGGCGAGCGTATTTTGTATATAGTTATCATGGAGATTGCGCCTAATTCTTTTTGTTTATAACAAACATATGTTTTGCTCTGCTGGCTTCGCTTTGTTGTACCGTATCGTTGTGGTTGTGTTGCACTTCCTTGCCGCGGATTCGGTTCGCTTTCACATTTACATTCACGTTTCGGTGTCGGCCGGAGTTGCCTTTGCCTGTTTTTTTTATCGGTCGTGCTTCTTCGCCTACGTGTTTTACGCCAGTTGCAAGCAATGTTATTGCGTGCTTTGCTCAATATATTTGCTCTGCCAGCAGCGCAAGCGAATTTTGCGTTTTAAATACGTATTTCGTGGTTTTGTAATTGAGAAGTGACAAAAAAAATATGCTGCGTACGAAAAAATTTATTGGTCAACACACGAAACAACAGCCAAAAAGGAGGCAGAATAGAAATCGCAGTGTTGCATACACCAGCAAGGTTGCAAATCCCTCCAAAGAATGTGCATATCGATAGCATGCCAAGCGCGCAAACACTACTCGATAACAACCTGCTGTTTGTAGTCGATAGTTTCAGTTGCAACAAACAAAACACCGGGACCCTTGTGTTTACCGCCAAAAACGAAGCTGTTAAAAAAGCCGGCAATTTATTTATAGCCATGGTTGATTCAAGTAAAACGCATGAACAGCGCAAGCCCAGCGCTGACACATTCCTGCCCCTCAGCCGGGTGCGCACCATCATGAAGAGCTCGATGGACACGGGCCTGATTACCAACGAAGTGCTCTTCCTAATGACCAAGTGCACCGAACTATTTGTACAGCACTTGGCCCGTGAGGCGTACACGGCGTCCTGTGCCAAACAGAATAGCGACACGCTCAAATACGAGCATTTGTCGCAACTGGTGAACAAGAGCAAAAATCTGGAGTTTCTGCTACAAATTGTGCCCGAAAAGATACGCGTGCACGAATTTCAAGAAATGCTCCGCCTCAATCGGTCCAACGCCAACGCCAGCGACGATGACGATGATGAGACTGGCACCGAATCCGAGTCGGAAGATGAATAACCAAATGGCACATTTAAGCGGAGCACACGTTAATAAACAAACTGGGCAACATTATCACTGCAATTGGCAGTAGCTACGAGTTATTAGATTGCGACTAGTTTAATTAATGTGAAATTTGAATGACTGACAGCTATTTTCTTTAGTTGCTAGGGTAAATGATTTGTTAAATAATACGTATAGCCTAAGCGATAACTCAGACCATTGGTAACAATAGACAATCCATTTTTGTATACTCCAAAATACTATTTCAATTATTTGCTCTTCGGCCAGCCGAAGATAACTTGTATTTGTTCCTAATATATAGACATACATATGTAGCAAATGTCACATATTTGTCATGACTTGCCAGTTTTGTTTTTGCTTGGGTGCACATCAACTTTAATATAACCTCCAGACCCTTGGGTGCACACCAAGTTAATAGGTTTCTATCTTTTCTGACCGCAAATTGGGCAAGGTCATAAAACAGTCTGGTTTTTTTTTTTTTTTTATAACAAAGGCGCTTGAGTGAAGGGCTGATAAATCGTCACCGTTGGCCCTCGGCAATGTGAAGTTTCGGATCCCATTCAGTTAAGTTAAAACACTTGATGCTTTGTTTGTCAATATTACTGAATACACACACACACATGTACATGTGTATGCTCATCTTTATATGCAATGTGCACTGTGTGTCATTTGATACATAGATATTTAGTTAGATCGATAATAATTGTGTAGGTAAAAACAAGAAAAAAAACATATGAAGTGCCATAATTATTATAATTATGTGAGTGTGCGTGTGCGTGTGCGCTTAGATCTTCAGGCTGACGCCGGGATAGCCCTTGGCATTGAGACCCGTCACCTTATAGGTGGTGCCTGCCGGCGCGGGCTGGTTGAATTTGGCCGCAGTGGTCACGTATAGAATGTCCAGATTGGGTCCACCGAAGGCAACCGAAGTGATCTGCTTGGTGGGCAGCTTAATCTCCAGCAAGACTTTGCCGGTGCTGCAAGGGCAAAGCAAATGGGATTAACAGCATACCAGGCATGCAGCTGGCTTAACATACCTTGGCTTGACCTTGTAGATGGTGGCGCCATTGAATGTGGCCACATAGATGTTGCCCTCGGTATCAATGGTCATGCCATCGGGCAAGATATGATCCTTGGGACTGGTCTTGCGCAAATTGTAGATTACCTTGGGATTGCTGGCGACACCAGTATCGAAGTTATAGTCATAGGACTTGACCTCATAATCGGTGGTATCGATATAGTAGAACTTCTTGGCCTTCTCATCCCAGGCAAGACCATTGGAAATGCCGACATCGCTCTTCACCACCGACACACTGCCGCCGGCCTCCCACTTGTACAGCTCGCCGTGACGATGCTCGAACTCATCGCCAATGTAGCGCATGGTGCCGGCAAAGAGGCGACCCCGTGGATCGGTTTTGGCATCATTCAAGCGATTCGCCTTAAGCTCGGACTGCACCTCGAACAGAGTGCGCACCACCTTCGCCGACGGCGACACACCGTCCCAGTTGACGATCACGACGCGACGTCCACAGCCGACAGCAAACTCCTGGGCATTGCCCTCAACGGGCAGCACAAAGCCGGCCAGTGTCTCGCCCTCAATCTGCGTCCTGTACGTCTTGTTCTGCTTGTAGTCGTAGCGCAGGAGGCTGCCTGCTTCTAAATCCACGAAGTACAGGCTCTGTCTGGCCTCATCCCAGTGCGGACCCTCGCCCAGACCGGCATACGAATCGGGTAGTGGCTCCACTTTGTAAGACATCTGAAAGTATTGCGCATACAAACACACGAGCATATTGCACGAATTGAGAGAACATTCGAATTACCGTTGGAACCGAGAATGCAACTAAAATAATAAATGTGACTAATTGGGCTAATTTTGGCTGCATCTCTTGTACTTTGCTGCTGCTGCTGCTTATGCTGGGAGATGTAACTGGACACTGAAGCGGCCGCCGGCGGCGCCAAGTGCTTTTATGGGCCAATATACAAAGAGAAACAACAAATGCGAGCGTAAAGTCCAGCTTGTTTTTTATTACATTTTAAAAATCGCGTGGCCGTTGCCAGCTGCTGTGACGTCATGCCCTTCACTTGCTCAGGCCGAGATTTTAGACTTGGCCAGCTGCGTTTGTTATTGTTATTGTTGTAGTTTCTGCTTCTTTTTTTTCCACGTAATTGGCATGCATTGTGTTGTTGCTGCTGCTGCTGTTACTGAACTTGTCAAACCAAAAGCGCGACCTGCTTACGGTAAACGCAGCCAAGCCTTAACATGTGCATATGTGCATTTGTCTGTCTGTATGAGTGCGAGCGCGAGCGCGCGTTTGTGTGTGTGTGTGTGGGTGTAAACGGTTTCAAAGCAACTAATAAACTGATCAAAGATGGCGGCTGCAGGATAATATAGCACAGACACAAACCGACAGGCACAGTGGTTCGAGACTTGCGATTTCTAATTGTGTTCTCATTAATTACTTGCGGATGGCATTTTACAAATTTTTTAATTGTCCATTGAATAAAAGCAAATAAAATGATTTATAAGCAACAAGCAATTGAAGGGTATTTCGCGGTAAAGCTAATTAAATGAGCTGTTAATGGAAGTGGCCTAAAACACTTGTTAAATGCACTTGCGGCTTGTAATAAAAACAGTTAGGAAATTCTTTTTGTAAGGGGCCTATTTGCAAAATAGTAAACCGATCCTTATCAAATTCAGCTAAAAAAATATTAGTTTTTAAAGCCCAATTAATCAAATTTGATGTAGTTATCTTAAATAAGCTATCAACTGATCGTTTTTGGTTATCTCCATGCATGACAGCACAATTATACACTTTTTTTTGTTTGGCGAGTTTGGTTAAGATCGTAAAAAAAAACATAAAAGAATTTCTTGAGCAAAAGTCCTTTAGAAAAAGTAGATGCTATGCAAATTCAAACGATCTCAGCTTCAAATCTTGTCAGATATATAATATAATTCTCAAGAAAAAAAATTTTTTTTGAAATATAGCAGGACCCGAATGCCAGAAAACTTGTTCACTTGTCGTACATACCTTTGGGACTTATAGGCTGGAGGATATTGATCAATAGGACACGACGCGAGCAAACAATATGCGCGAACTGAAGTTTAAACAGCCGGCTAGGAATCTTTTTATAGCCGAATCTGGCAACAGCAGCCGGTGTATGCGTGACATACAAGCACATAAACACACACACACGCACACACACATATATATACATATACATACTTATACATACAAGCGAACAGCTTGTGTTCTGGAGTGATAAGCGTCGAGTGTGAAGCCAAAGCCAGATAAGACATACACACACAGAGACACGCCTGGAAGTATGTATGTGTGCATGTACATATGTATGAAGATCGCTAAATGCGCTCGGTTCCCGGGCCCGGCAATACAATCGCAATCAATATTTGTTTGAGCATTGTGAGTGCTACAGTTATCCAGTATTGGATGAATTACGACAAATGGGTTCGTTGGGCCCGAGGTGGACGCGGTGCTGGGCCAACCCATAGCTGTATTCACTGTATTGCAAAATGCAATTGCCGCTAAGGAGCGTATACAAACAGAAACAACAGCAACTTTCAATCTGTGAGGGCTTCTTTTCTTTTTTATTATTAATTTTTATATATATATTTTTTTTTGCTGTGGGCGGCTGTGATAAGCCGAAATGCGCTTATTTGAATTTATGTAATTTAGTTTGGCGCACATATAGACGAGCTTATAGGATTTATCTGCCCTTTCCGGTTCACAATGTTGCGATAAATTGCAAAAAAAAACAAGTAAGAGGTTCTAGGCGGGAGCTCCCGACCAGGAGATACCCTGAACCCTCTTCTTCCAACATCAAATGCACATATATATTCCATTTTAGAAGCTATATGTCAAGTTTGGGGATTCTAGCTCTTATTATTTACCAAAATTGCCCAAAAACAGGATATCGATATCGATTTTTATCGATTGCTTGAAGATTGAGTAAGTTATCGATTATCGGAAACAAGCTCGATCTGCGCGGGAACTAGGAGCACCTACATCTAAAATTTCAAGTCTCTAGCTCTTATGGGTTCTGAGATCCAGACAGACGGACATGGCTAGATCGACTCGGCTATTGATACTGATCAAGAATATATATACTTTATGGGGTCGTAGATGCTTCCTTCTGCCTGTTACATACATTTGGCTTTCGCACAAATACAATATACCCTTATACCCATTTTAAATGGGTTCAGGGTATACAAAGAAAAAGCCACGCTCGTGCCACACAAATCGATTGCGGCCCACTGTGCCAGCCGCCCCAATGAAAGGATGCTGAATCCGTCGATCGGTCGGGCGAGCGGGCATTATTTATGCGAACGCTCTTTGCACTTTCCAGCCAGCTGATAGCAGTGGGGGGCGGCTGAGCTGAGCAGACATAGACCTTATCTGGAATAGCCACTAAATGACTTGTGAAACCGTTTATTCCCAATTTAAATGGTTCTTTAATTAATTTCCAACATGATTTATGGGCATATTATGATTGTTCTCTGACTTGACATGACAATCAAAAACCTCACATTATGTTTGTCATCTATCTATTTGTATATACAAATACATATGTATATAATAATATTATATGCTAAAGTTATTAATAAACTGTCTAATCTAATGGGAATATTTTGAATGCCTGTGCTTGATAAAGATCTACCTATTTATTAAAGAGAACTAACTCGAAATATTCCTAAAACAAATCTCTTAAGAGAGTTCTACTTTTACAGTTTGCATATAGAGTATAGATTCATCGATCAGGAAGTCTAAAAGAGAATCTTATAAAAATCAGCAAATTTATATCATATTCCCTGCATTATAGACTGATTCATATGGTTTAGGGAGATCGTGAATCAAGGTAGGTGGACAGGGAGTGTATTTATTTTTGATAAGAATTTATTAATTTTCATTAAAGTGGGATTAATACGATAAAAGGCTTATAGCTATAACATGTATGGGAAAATTATTATCACATTTCTATATACACATTGTGTGTTTTATTTAATATAAACATAGCCACAAATACGGCTTGCTATCATTAGTTACATATTCGTGAAAGTGCCAAAGGTGAAACTTGAACAAATTGCAATAGATGAAAAAGATGTCATTAGATCAATACTGCGTTTTGGATAGTTACATCAATGTTAAAAATCTGCTTACAAAGGTAACATAGTATTTTTTAGTTTGTTATATCCGACCGAAACGTTCTTTTTGCATAGTGCTCTGACTAATTAAATTCAACACAGTTTTTCTTGTTATGTGCATGTAATAAATGCGTTTATTTTACCTGGTCTTATCTATTAAAATCAATAAAAAATAAAAAAACAAATTGAACGCAATTAAGAAAATGAGAATATGTCAATAAGTCAAGCAAAACAAAACAAATGCGATAGTCTGAAACAGCTGTTTATACTCGATAATTGACAATATCATTCCTGCTTTGGATTAATGTACTTGGTATCGAAATAATAATTGAGAATGTGTGCCACAACTGAACGTTAATATCCCAAAACTTTATATGTGAAATTATAGTTTCGCAAGAAGAAGGCTTTCGCCGAAAGCAAAATAAAAGCAAGGCATTCGATTTGTATTATCGAACTTTTTAATCGATGTTAGTTAACAGGCACTGTTGTCTATTAACATGGAGTTAACACTAGTCATCGATAGTAACGTTAGTGTCATCGATTGCTCCGTTCAATTATCATTTGTTGTTGTTTCGTCGCAAGGTTCGGACGTGTAGTTTTCCGAGGTGCACATTGGAAGTCGTTCGGCTCGTTGCGTTAGTTTCATTTTTTTTTTCTGTGTAATTTTGTTTTGCATACTAAACGCAAACAGACACACGACCACGACGGAGTCGTTTTGACTAACCGATACCGATACCCAATGTCCGTGCCCAGGCATCAGCAGATGTGAAATGTGACGACACGACGAAAAAGTGTCCGCAATCGCGCAGCCGAGGCGACAAAAACCATTTTGCAAAAGAAGAAAAAAAGAAAAAAGAAATAGAAAAAAGTGAGAGGAATCGGCAGCGACGCTCACGCGTTGCGCCCCCATTCAAAATAAAAGTGAAAACGTGCAAAATACACAATCCAAAAAAGAAAGAACAGCAGCAATAGAGTATACATTTTAATCAAAAAATGTGCGACACTGTCGCAACTACAACCACAACCACAGCAACAGCAGCAGCAGGATCCGGAACAGGAACAGGAACGGGTGGTGCTGCTGGCGATACAGCGACAACAATGGAGGAGCGTACACGACAAAGCTGCTGTCGCCTATGCATAGCGCCCCCCAGCGAATGCATTTCGATCATTAACAGTTATGCGGCCGATAAGGAGCCACTGGCCACTAAAATACACAACTGCGTAAATATCAAGGTGAGTAAACCAAATGTCCGCAAACGGCGAATAGAGTTGCCAGCGGCATACGTAATACACTCATCCACATCCACATTGACAACGACAACGACAACGACATCAATTCGAATTCGACCTGCTGCTGCCGTCGCCGCCTGGCTCCTCAAACCGAAACCGTTATACACACTGCTAGCTCCCATTCCCCTGTGCGGCTCGGAGCCGGGACAGATGGCTGGCAGCAGCCACACCCGACATTGCTGCTGCTGATGATGATGGGTCATCCACTCCTGCTCTTGCTGAGCGGGGCGCTTCCTGTCTGTGCGTGTGTAATCGATAACACCTCTAACGTCGACACTCTGCCTAGCTTTGCTTAACTGACCAAAAAAAAAAAATATATATATATATATAAGAAAGTGAGGTTAAATACGAAACCAAAAGTAAAATATGCCTCATCAGAAGCGAGCTGCTGCTGGCCCCATTTGATTGTGCAAGCGCTGGCGATGACGACGACGACGAGACCGATACCGATACCGAGACCGAGCCAAACGTTGTTTCGCTCGTTGCCAGCTGCAGCATTCTCTTCTACCCAATACAATCCCTCTCCCCTCCACCGCTCCGCCTTTTCCCTGACCCTCGCCTCAGTGGCACTTGCCCGTGAGCAACATCATCATCATTGGAAATGGAAACGGATTCGAGCATTCGTTTGTGCTTGCTTGTCCATGCCGTGTGCTCCGGCTCGGTGCCGTCTGCCTCTGGCTTTGCTTGAAGTGCCAAGTCACGATGCCCGACGACGACGACGCGACGGCCATCGCCGTTTATTGGTATTGGTGTAACTTTGTCGTTGTGGTTGTCGCTGGCGATGCCTGTGGCTCGCTGGCTGCTGCCGCCGCCGCTGCTGCTGCTTGCTTGCTTGGCTGGTTTGTCGCTCGCTGCTCGATTGCCGACGTTAACGTCGTTGTCGTCATCGCCATCATCGGCATTTCGTGTGCTACGTTGGCATGAAAGTGAGCAGAAACCATGGGCAGCTGGCGTGCCTGGGATTCGATTGCCATTCCTATTCCCGTGCAGGCAGCGGATTGAGGTTAGAATTGGCCGGCAAGAAACGGCAAAAGCTTACAATTAATAATAACAACAAACTATGCTCATTGTTTATTATTTACACATTTTTGTTGCTGTTGCTGCTGCTGCTTCTTCCCATGCCACCGTTTGCCGCTATTCACAGAAACTAGAGATGAGTCAAGTGCGTGCGTGCAAACTTGAAGCGAAAAGCAAACTTATCGAAAGTTGAATTAGTATGCTGTTTGCTTGAGATGCACTTGCATTCGATTGTTTTGATAATTGCAATAAATGCAATAGTAAATAATTATAGGAAAATATAATATATATTTTGCTTTTCGGAAAGTCGTCGATATTTCGTGCTATAACAACAATGTCTTCTTGTGCACATCACTAAGCACGACACGAAAAACACCACAAAACGTGGAGAGCAATGAGCGGCAGCGGCGCCCGAACGGCCATTCAACGGCAACAAAATTTTCGAGGCCGTCACCATCGACGAGATTGAGAGCGTGCCAGAGAGGGCAGGAAGAGACGTTCGTGTGTTTGGCTGTGTGTGTGTGCCTGCGTGTGTGTGTGCCTGCGTGTGTGTGTGTGTGTGGAGCTTGGGTCGCGCTTGGTTCGTTTCATATCGGTTGTGGCTGCCGCTGCGACTATGTCTGCTGTTGCTGCTGCTGCTGTGCCTGCCCAGCGCCAGAGCAATTACGTATAATTTTTGTGCTCGCCTCGCTTCCATGGAATTCGCCGCCATTGTATATGAACGCTGGCGATTCTGGCGGCTTCGCTTGGCAGAGCTGCTGCTGACCAGTTCCAGTCGCAGTCGCAGTCGCAAAACCAAGCCCATGCCAAGGCCCAGAATCAACTCCAAGTCTCGATTAATATCAGCATCTGACCAAGCCCAGCGTCCAGTCTATTTCCGTTTGCTCTCAGCTTGCCCGCCCCCTTGCCATGATGATGCCTCTCTCTCTTTCCCTATGGGCTCTCTCATGCTTGCGCGCGCGCTCTGGTCGTGTCCTTCACTGGCTTCCATTTGTGACTCCTCGCTGGGCCCATGATATCCGGTGCAGGCACCTCTGGGGCAAGGCGGCAGCCGCACAAAAGCGAATACGCAAAACGAAACGAAACGAACAAAAAAACCGAAATAAATAAAAATAAAGAGGAGTAAAATGAAAAGAAGTACAGCAAATGAAACTGCCTTTTGGATTTGTGGGCTTCGCTAGCTACGCTTTGTTGCCTGGTGCTCTCGGCTCTCGGTTATTGATTCTTTCATTTGGCAGGCACAGCTGAGCCAGCAGGCAGCCAGGCAGCCAGAGACGACGGCCAAGCAGGCAGCTAGGCAGGCAGTCAGGCAGGCAAACCTAGAGTCGCCCTCGTCATCCACTTTTCGTTCAACACAAAATGGTTGCCTGCTGCTCGAGTTCGAAACTCAGCACAGCACAGCACAGCTCGGCGCGACGCAACGACTCTCTGGACTGCGCCCCCGGCAACGACATCATCATCTACGTCGGCGTCGTCGTCGGCACGTTGCTGCTGCGTGTGCTTGGTGCTTGGCGCTGGCACTGGGTTGCTCTTTGGTTTCGCTTTGGCTCGATTTCATGGTGAATACACCAGCAACCAGCAGCAGCAGCTCAACCAATACACACACACAAATATATACGAGCATTTCCACACAAGCGACCATTTGGTTGGCGTCATCGCTGTGCGGTTCGCTTGTTATCTGGAGGCGGACCACATGCACACACACACACACACCAGCATACACACACATACTCACAAAGCACAGAGTAGAACATCAGCCGAGGGCAGGGCAGATACAAACGTCGTATATACGAGTGGTTGTGTATGTTTTTTGTTGTTGGTCGCCCTGTTCAAGCAGATTAACCTGGGCATGGAAGTTGCAGTTGTTGCCAGTTGCCAGTTGCTGCGTTCCGCATCGAATTTCGGATACACATCATCATCATCATCATCAGCCGCAGTGCCCAAGTTAAGTTCAGGTGAAAAAGCCAAACTTTCTCTGATCAGAAGCGCTTGTTTGTTGGGGGAGGGGGTGGCTGAGAGAGGGAGAGATAGAGATGACACTGATTAAATAAACTTCATTTTGCCCTTTGGCTTTGCATGTATCCGTTCCAATAACCATATTGTCTATGTTTTTCATAGAATCGATAACTTAATAATTTATCGATGCTGGGAATGACGTTTGCAATCGTCGTTGTCTGTGTAATTGAATACGGCAACAACAAACGGTAAAGATCAGCAGCACAGCACACGGCTTGCTAATGCTTAGGGTTACTTTTGTTGGAGAGTACACATACACATGCACACAGCTGACGACGAATAAGGACACAAAGGCAAATACGGCAATAAAGAAAAATAAAAACGATAACAAGCAGAACCCAAAACTTGTTCAGCTCCGAGATCATGCGGCGTTGCGGCAACGCCAGGACAGCCTGTTCCCGAGCGACGCTTTATTTCTGGCCAGCATCTTCTCTGCTTCGTGCCCTCATGGCGCAGCGGCGCTGATGATGATTGTTGCACCTGGTGGCCAACAAAATGCAGCAGCTGCTGGCAACTGTGGCAGCTGCTTCTGCATCTTGTTTGTATTGATGGATGAAAGATTTCCTTTTCAACTTCAACTTTCTAAAACGCCTGCGTCTGATGGCCCAAACAATTTGTGCCTTTTTCCCTGGTATGTCTGCTGTTCCCAGTCTGTTCACGCAGAATGCTTGCAAATTTATCGAAACAAAATTCCTTCTGTTTGATTATTCGCTTTGCTTAAAGTTTGCGTTACATAGTTATATAAGCTCTTCAAAATAGTATGCTTGTGTTTAGGTTTTTATTTCACGGCATAAAAACTGAGAATTTCTGCCTAGCAGAATGCCTTATTTCGCTTTCATCAATAATTGCAATTGCCCGAACATCTGTTCGATGCTGCGATTTAATACTAAAAACAAATACATTAAATACTAGATGAGTTATGTTATTGACAATAACGAAACTGTGATCAGCAGAGACAAAAACAACATAATTTGTTTGTATTTAATTGCAATGCACATTTACTTACCCTAAACAACAACAGCAACAATACGAATAATGCCTATTAAAGTCAACTCAAGCCTCACCCTCGCTTTGCCAAAGGCTTTTGGTGGTGTTCCTCCTTCGGTGCCACTTGAGAAAGAGATGTGCCCAACACGATGTTGTTGTGCGGGTGCGGGTGCGGGTGCCTTGACTGGCTGAGTATGGGGAATAAGGTGAATGAACAACATATTATCGAAACCCTTCAAAGCCAAAGCGAGGCGGGGAGATAGGCAGGACGGGCATCGCAGGACTCAAGTGTGTACATAATACATTTATATAAGTGTACATATGTGCATGCATGCACATAGATGCATATGTATGTACATGCATGTACACTCATCCACACCCACACCCACACACGAAAATACTAGAGCTTGGGGGTTTGAGATGCGCTTCATACATAGGAGTACCGTTTGTTTTTGCGAATTACAAAAACATAAATGAAGCTGCAAAAATAAGCAGTTACTTGTGTTGATAAATTTCTGTGTGTATATTATGTGTATATACATGTATGTATGTACATAATACGCACACACATACCGCAAATGCTTTTGTATATTGCAAGCTGTCAAGTGCATATGCCGGCACAAGAACAGCAACAACCTACGATTATTTGCGCTTCTGTTTTGGTTTTTGCTTTCGTGCTTTATTTATTCAAATTTGACAATAACACTGGCTGCCATATTGGACACTTGATATCGATACTACTTTTAACGAACGTTTGTGGATGGTGTAAATTACGATATTTTTGCAATGATTAAATGTTATAAAAACGTGCATGTATATACATATGTATTATTAATTAAGTTATGCATCCATTTAAGAATACAGTTAATAATATGTCTTCAACTGAAAATGCGTATAGTATTTTAAAATCGTTCCTGTCGTTTATTTCTTGTTGAATTGTTTACGAATTCGGAGTAATTGTGCTTTCACATAGCCCAAGCGGTTTGTTTATCTTTGATCTATGAAATACCTATAGATTTTTGTATTGGGCTGCAAGATGCATGCCCACACCAGGGCTTAAATACATACGTATATGTATGTGCATGTACATATGTATATACATTTGTATGCACTTATTTACATGTGTCTTATGTGCCTACACACTTTTAATTGAAAAGCCCAAATAGTCCCATGCCACATACAATTAAAAGCAAATTGTGCACGAACACAAAGCCGCAGATATAGCCAAAAGAGCAACAACAATTCTATGTTTATATACCTAATATGCATCCGTCAACTTGCACATAGGCAAAAGCATAATCAAGTACATGCACACAGCGGTATTTACATGGTTATACATGCATGTATGTATGTATGTATGTAGATACCCATACATGGGCACACGAAACGCTGTCAGGCGAAAGGACATGGGACAAGTATATGAATTGCAATGTTGTGTGTGAGTGTAAGTGTGGTTTGCTGCAATACTCAGTTTTGCATATAATTATAAGCAGGTCATTGACATTAATAGACTAGTTAACGGAATAGGTTTGCTGCTGTCTCAACAAACGCCTGGAATGCCTTTGCTATACACGAAGAAATCCCATACTGCCGCTGGGTGGGCAGGACAAAGGTGTGAGCGCATTTAGTTTCGGATGTGGGGCTGCCAATGCCGATGACTCCTGGCTGCATCCCCAATAATGCATCGTTAAGTACATAAAGAACAACAGATCCAACTATGTGTTTTTATGCTGGCTTAAAGCACACGGTCGTTGCACGAAATTACTTTTGCCAACAGCACAAATAATTTAGATAGAACAAGAAGCTAAACATAATTAACGACAAATACATTCATATACATATTTAACCTTATCAAAACTTTCATGTGGTCACACTGGCGTTGGTTAAATAATTAGGCTCCTTACATTTGACACTAAAAATGACAGCAAAAGACGTAGCTAAAAAAAATGCATTTATTTTTGTATTCATTAGCTGCAGTTGCACTATTGCGAAATTATGAATTTGACAAACTGAAATTGATATCATTTAAATTGGATGCAAGTCTGAACTATCAAGCTAAGTTTTTAAAAAACCTTGACTGCGGCATTCAGCCAACCCATACCTCATTAGTTAGATGTAAAAAATATATGAAATTGACGTTAATGCAAATTTAAATTATTATTCTGAATCTACATGTGGGCACACTGACTAAATCAATTAAATTATAGGTTTCCATTGATTGATCGATAAGCGATAAGTGTTAGTTTAATTGTAATAATAACTTAAGATGTGTGTACACTGAAATTAGTTTTGAGCGAATACAGTTCAATTTTGCTGTTCTGCTGTGAAGGTGTCCGTTTAAAAGATTTGTCGAAGCAAATAAAAGCACATTCAGTTATTCTCAGTTATTCTTATATACATCTCTTGTACATGTTGATATAGACTTTTGTAATTTATATTTTATATATATATATGTGTATATATTTTCTTTCAGATCACGCCGTTGGATCGTCTATCGCTGCATATTTGCCATGCCTGCATCAGCTATTTGAACTCTTGGCAGAGCTTTAAGAATCGCTGCCTCAGCTCACAGTCCAAGCAGAGGCAATGGCTGGATACCGATAAAAGCAAGCAGCAGACACTTTTAGGATATTTGGACTTGAACAAAACGGAGAATGGCAGCTCCATTGAACAGCAGCACGAAACGAACATCGATTCGGCGACAGTTGCAGCTGAAAAGGCGTCCGCCAACATATTGGATGGCATACCCTCGCTGAAGAAACGCAAATCGTTAACAGTCTATGTGAGTCCAAAGCAACAGCTACAACAGCTACAACAGCTACAACAGCAACAACAGCTACAACAGCATCAACAACAACAACAACAGCAGCAGCAGCAGCAGCAACTGAATGCTGCAAGAACAACGAGCGCGGCGGCGGAGTCACAGCAAACACTGCAGACCCTTTTATTGCAGGTGCCCTCAGCAACATTGTCAACGGCGTCAACTCAGCAGCAGCAGCATCAGCAACAGCAACAACAGCGCAAATATCAACAGCAGCAGCAACGTGGCAGGCAGCAACATTACCACCAGCAACAACAACATCAGCAACAACAACATCATCATCAGCAGCAGCAGCGACTAAGTCGAATACGTCAACCACGACGCCAGCAACAGGCGGCACCGTCTGCTCAGCGTTTGGCTAAGTTCAAGCCTAAATTGTATTTGCCATTGGATATATCGGTGCCACCGCTTCCACCGTTGTTGCCGCCGCCGTTGCCGCCCATGTTGTCAACTATTGCTGCTGGTGCTGATTTGGCGCCGTTGCCAATGCCGTTGTCGCTGCCACTTGATTTCAGTCAGAGTCAGTGTCAGAATCCGAACGCGAATCAGAGTCACAAACATAGCAGCGTGTTGCCGCCAGCGCCACCACCGCCGCCGCCGCCTCCTCCTCCTCCTCCGCTGCCGCTGGCTCCAGTTGCAGCAATGACCAGCAACGCCTCTGGCTCTGCCACTGCCACTGCCTCTGCCTCTGCCGCAGTCACGACTCCATTGCTAATGCCAGTAACGCTGCAGAGCGCTGCCCAGCAGCTGCGCTTTTTCAGGCGCTATTCCTATAATGTAATTGTATCGTGCATTCGCAAGCGTCCACAAGTCACATACACCACCATGCCACCCAACCAACCCCTACTCACCAGATGCATTAGCCGGTGCATATTTTCTGTTGTTCAAATTGAATAGAATATTAAAAATGAAGTGAAAAAAAATGCCGCAATATTGCACGTTGAACTTATCGACTGTTTCGTTTGCAGCCGCTGCCTGCCGTGCCCATCAAGGATGAGCCCATTGACGACACGGATGATGACTTCCAAATGAAGTGCATAGACGAATCCGATGATATGATGGATCCAACAATGTTCCTAGAGCGCTCCGAGCATGAGGGCGATGTGCCACTAATGGTAAGCAACAAAGCATCATCCGACTACGACGAACAAATTTTAATTGAAGAAAAGCATTAACAATCGAATCATCCAACTTAACTAACCATAAGGCTGCCAAGCTTTTTCCAAACAACCAAAAATGCACGAATTAAGGGGCATTCCTTAGCGTAGTAAAATACAAGATGCAATAACTAATGTGCAGTAAAAAGAAGAGGTCGCATTCGATGAGTATCTAATTAATATAAGCTTTCATCAAGCCTACGAAGTGTCAAGCATTTTGATTAGAACTAAGGGGTCCTTTTATTTGGGTGCCAGCTAAATGAGAATTGTGCAAATAAAACCAACAAAATATATCAAGAATGCTTCAAGATAAAGGTCCGCTAATATTCTGAAACGCGCCTAAGGCATAGTTTTAGTACTTGAAAATCTTGTGAGTACTCTTTAATTATTTACAATTCGGTAACATCAATTTATTTTTTGAAGCGAAAGGAAAAATTGGTAAACGATGAATATCGATTAAAATCAAGAATCAAGACAGGGTTACCAAGATTTTTCAAAACTTAATGGGTTCCGCTTATTGGGTTGCCAGCTGGTTTTTTAAATGAGTTCTTTTTATACTTTAGCGCTCGACTGTGAAAAGGAGAAATAAATAAAAATGCAAAATAATTGAGCAAATATGCAACAATTTAGAAATGTAAATAGAATCGAGAAGACAAATGCTTCAATTGGATGTTACCTTAAAAGTGGACCTAAATAACTAAATATATATGTATGTCAGTTGGATAATCTGCATTTTCCCCCATCTCTCTTTGCATAACAGACCTCCGACTATGATTACACGGCGCAGCATGGCGTGACGGCGGTTGCGGCGGCGGCATCGCTGCCCGCCAGCGCGGTTGCAAATGTGGCTGCCGCTGGCGACTCCAAGGTGGCCAGCTGCCGTGCCTGCAGTCTGCAGTTCTCGACGCGCGCGAATGCGCGACGACACGAGCGCAATCTCCATCCGAATCTGTTTCAATTGTCGACAGACTCGCCAAATAATACGCCCATCACAAAACCGACGCCGGCATTGGCAGCCGCACTGGAGATACAGCGTGCAGCTGCCGCGGCAGCGGCCACCGCGGAGGCAACCAAAGCTGCCGCTGGTGGCAACATATCAGCGCAAAAGTATCGCCAGGTGGTCATGAACACGTTCATCAAGTGCGAGAACGGCGGCTTCGACTACGACAATCCGGAACAGTATCAGCAGCTGCTGACCCGCGACAAGGTTGAGTTCATTCAGGAGAACAACGAGTTTCTGGAGCAGTACCAGACGATGACCTGCCGCTGCTGCAACAAGTACTTTAACACATACAAGAACTTTATGGCGCACGTGCGCAAAAAGTATCCGCTGCTGCCGCGCAATTTATGCTTCAACTGCCTCAAGATGAACGACTCCAAGGCACTGTTCATATCGCATCTGAAGAAGCGCAACTGCATCAATTTGTATCGCGTTCTCAACGCTCTCCGCATCAAGCAGCCAAACTTCTCTCATGCCACCGCATCCGGAGCGGCTATCTCAACCGATATGAGTGGTGTTCCAGGTGCTGCAGCTGCTGCAGGGGCAACAGCACACGAAACATCAATGGAACGGCCAGAGAAGCTACGCGCCAAGGAGCTGCTGGTCAATAAACTGTATGAGTGCAAGCTCTGCCCAAAGGGCTTTCGCACCAAGCACGAGTTCCGCACCCATGTATACGACAAGCATGCGGATGTGCAGCGTAAGGATAACAATTCGATACAGTGCAGCTTCTGTGGATTGGACTTCGCCGATCCCGTAGATCGTCGCCGTCACTACAACAACATGGACTGCATTGTGCGGCTACGATGCATGACCTGCGATGCCAAGCTGGAGACGCATCAGCGCTTCCTCGATCATGTCTATCAGGATCATTTGGGCGGTGTCAGCAGCGACAATGCATCCACCGCGAACAGCGGCATGGATCATTCGCCGGGCAAGCGTAGCCTGCTGGGCGCCCTTGGCATTGGTGTCAGTCAGTCATCCAATGATGAGTCGCGCAGCAGCAGCCACAACAACAACAATGCAGTGGAAACGCCGCTAACCTCAACACCAAAACCTGCTGCAGCTGGATCGGGAACTGCAGCTGCGGCGACCAGTGGCGGCTCCGCATCTGGCAATCGCGATGCCCCCAAATCGCAGTATTTTTCCCGCATGCCGCAGGTGTGCCCCATTTGTGGCCAGCAGTACAACAACTACAACAACGTGCTGCGCCACATGGAGTCAAAGCATCCCAATAAACTGCCCGAGACATACAAATGTGTACGCTGCGGCCTTGGCTATCCGCGAATCTCATATCTGCGCGAGCACATGATAAATGTGCATGGCGTGGACAAGAATCGGCATTCCGGAGGCTTTGAGTATATTGTGAATGCCGATGCTGTTAAATTGGCGGATGGCAGCACGCCCAATGTCTACACCGGACGCTATGATTATGTGATGAAGGATCTGATGTCAATAACAAATGGTGGGACACTCGGTAATTTTTTGTTTGGCCCCCATCAAATCCATCGCCCAAGTGTGAAGTCCTGTGCCAGTGTCCTAGTCACCCCCCAAACATGCTTTTCATATAGTCGATATCTAAACAATAGAAAAACTATAGCCACACAAATTAGTTGAACGTATTAGAAAAGAAAGTCAAATGCATTCTGATGAGACTATATTGGTGTATATTTGATATGTATTCGATTTAATGTGTTTATTTTTCAATTTTGTACTTTTTCTCTTTGGTTCTATGGCGGCCAATTTTATATATAGGTGCTCTTACATGTTAAGCATATCCAGTTTCTTTTATTTTTTTAAAATCGCCTTTCTATGCGATTTTCATGAACTCAAGTTAACAGCATGTTAACATTCCGCTAGCAGTAAATCGGTTAACTTTAAGAAAATTCTGAGCAATATGAAATTGAAAGCATAATTAATCATTCTATTCAGGTATTGACTGCATTATAAAGGTCTTTAGGCAAGCGTGAATACTCAAGTTCTAATATTTTATGTTCTCTACCGCCTTCTCTCGTTTTAACAGATGATGAGGAGGAGGAAAACGGCAGCGTTGCCAAAAAGATGCGCCTCGATGATAGCAGCAACAACAGCAGCATCAACATGAGCATCGCCAATCAGCAAAAGGAATGCCTCATCTGCAATGCGGTGTTCAGTAACAACATTGGGCTATCCAATCACATGCGCTCGCATTATACCGCCTCCACGACGACGAGTGCAGCGCTTGCGGCGGCCAATCGCATGACGCCAAAGTCGCTGACAATTACTGCAACGCCGCCGCTGGAAACGGCTGCCGCATCGTCCACAAGCATTGCGGTGTCGACGGCGGCGGGGGCGGCGGCAACAACAGCAGCAGCAACGCCCGCCACAAGCACAGCTACAGCAGCTGCGAGTGCAACTACAACAACAAGTACAACAGCTGCCGCCGCCGCGTCCGGCAGTTTGCCGCCAGCGATGGCACATCAAACGCCACAGGAGCAGGCGGTATTCCGACGTAGCTTGGATCAGGCAGCCGATCGTCGCTTTCGGCGCATGCGCTGTCGCATCTGCCAGCGCAGATTTAGCTCTAAGAAATCGTACCGCTACCACATGCTGACCGACCATCAGGTGCAGAACGTGCAGTTCATCAAGTGTAAGCTGTGCAATGCGGAGTTCGCCTACGAGAAGGGCCTCAAGGTGCATCTCTTCAAGGTGCACGGGCGGGCCATTAAGGATGAAATGATTGTGAAGCAGTTTGAGTGCGATATCTGCTCCATTGTCTACAGCTCTGATCTGGAGCTGCAGCAGCACAAGCGCAGCGTGCACAAGTCCCAGCTGGGGGGCGCCAGTGATGCGGCCAAGTCCAAATCGTCAGCAGCTTCATCAGCTGCTGCTGACCTTGCCGAGACTTCCGGCACGGCTGTGCCAGCCCTGCCCCTCTATTGGTACCAGTGCAAGTACTGTCCATCCAATTTCAACACCAACAAAAAACTGGCCATACACATCAATTCGCACGACGAGTTCGACTCGAATGATTACTCGTGCAAGGACTGCGGCAATGTCTACAGTGGCCGCAAAAGCCTTTGGGTAAGTCCCTCTATCTCTATATATAGATACACATTATACAAATATTTATTTTGCAGGTGCATCGCTATAAGAAGCATCCGCAGGTGCCAGATCCCGCTGAGTGTACGCTGTGCCGCAAGATGTTCTTTGACCGCCAGATGCTGGAGAATCACACGCCCACCTGCAATCGAAAGCCCATCACTGCCACTGGCGCCCATCAGCAGGATTCGCAGCAGCAACAGCAGCAGCAGCAGCTGCAACTGCAGCAGCAGCGCGGCATATTCAAGCACAAAACGGGCGACGATGACGAGGATGAGGAGGATGATGATCAGCTGTTGGTGCTGGACGATGGTGTCTGCGTCGGCAGTAGCAGCAACGGTGGCAATGCTGCAACAGCATCAGCGTCAAGCAATGCCAATAGCAGCACATTGAAGATACGCATACCGGAGGTGGCGTGCACCATTTGCGGTGCCCGGTTCACCGATCAGGAGATGTTCAGCAAGCATATACAGAAACATGAACAGGATCTGTATGTGGATAATCCATTGGCGGCCATGTTCGATGATGGACCAGCGGACGCTGGCCAATTTCAGGTGGAGCGCCAGAACGAGAACGGCGAATATGCGTGCGATCTGTGCGCCAAGACGTTCCCCCAGGTGATAGCGCTCAAGGTGCATCGCAAGTGGCATTTCAGAGGTGATAGCAAGCAGGTGAGCTTTTTGGGCTTGTGCAGCGAGGTGAATCTCTCTTGTGTGAATGGATCCCAAACCGTGCGGATCCATTCGTGAGCGTGCTAATTAATTGCGTTTGTTGTTTGTTGCCTCCGCACCAGTCGCAAAAAAACAAAAAAAAAAAAAAACAAAATAGACAAAAAACAAACAGATTTTAAACAAATATTTAAATTGAAAGCGCCAACGCTTTGTGTGGTGCAGTTTTGATTGGTTTTCACTAATTTCTTATATTTATATAAATTTAGAATCCCATCATCGACGGCGAAGCGACAACGCTGAACAACAGCAGCAACAACAACAACAACAACAACAATTCAGTGAGCTCCTCATCGATGCTCCATCTGCGCGAACTGCATGCGGTTGGCCTGATGCCCAATCAACAGCACCAGAAACAACAGCAACAACAACAACAACAACTGCAACAGCAACAACAACAACAACAACATCAACAAAGGAAGTCGCTGAAACGGAAACGTGAACTGAAATGCGAATATTGCGCATCCACATTCATTAGCAACAACAACCTGCGTCGCCACATGTACGAGCTGCACAAGCACGAGGTCAGCAATCTGCCGGAGCCGCCAGTGATTGAAGTGGATGAGCCTTTAACTTGTCGCCGTTGCGGCGATCTACGGTTTGATACCAAAGAGCTGTGGATCGAGCATAAATTGGCTGATGCCAAAGTTGTGCGTCCATTCTGTCCATTCCAATGGGGCTGTGATCTGTGCGGCGAGTACTTGTCGCGCAAGGAGAAGCTCATCAATCACATTAACAATCATCTCAAAGAGGATGTAATTGTGCCCGTGGCGGTGGCCACCAAGACAGCGTCAACAGTTCCCAGCAAGAATGCAACAACAAAATCTGCAGCAACATCAGCAGCGGCAGCAACAGCAGCATCAGCAGCGGCAGCAACAGGAGGCACAAAGGGCATAATAAGATCAGGAGCAGTAAGATTGCTTAAAAACAAACAATTGGATGAGCTGCAGGAGCAGCTAGACATGAAGGTGGCGAAGCTGTCCAAACAACAGCAAAATGTTCATGTGGCGCATGATGATGGGGAGGAGGCGGGCCAGGAGCAGGGGCAGGCGGAGGCGGATGATAGTGATATGGATGATGATAGCGATAGTGGCGAGGATGATGAGGATAGCACAAGCGCTGATGATGACGAAGACGACGACGACGACGATGATGATGACGACGAAGATGATGATGACGACGACGATGATGGCGATGTGGACGATGACGATGACGAAGATATTGTGGAACAGCAACTGCTGCAACAACAACAACAACAACAGTGTCTCAATAGCAACAACAAGAAGAAGAACAACAACAATAATAACAACAACAACAACAACAGCGTAGTTGCAAATGACGATGACGATGATCTCATTGAGGAGGTAATCGAGGATGATGGCATTGTCGAGGAGCTAGAAGATGATGAGGACGATGACGAGGACGACGACGAGGCCGAGGCCGATGGCGTTGATGATGATGACGACGATGGTAACACAACGGATGAGCATCAGACGCTTCCTTCCAATGCCACCAAACAGCAGCCGAGGCGCCTCAACTTTGACTACGCGCGCACAGACAGCTCCAAGCTGAACGGCAATAGCAATGGCAAACAGACGCCGCAGCATCAGCAAAAGTCAAAGGGCCAGCAGGCGGTGTTGGTCGTGCACAGCTCAGAGGATGAGGATGAGGCTGATGTCGATGGGAACGGTGATGAGGATGTGGATGAGGAGGAGGAGGAGGAGGATGAGGGCGTGGGTGAAGCAATGACTATTGATGATATTATTGAAGAAGATGATGGGGAGGATGATGACGATGTGGTTGGTGTCGATGGTGGTGTTGTTGAGGATGATGATGATGATGTTGACGAAGATATGGACGAGGATGACGTTGACGACGACGACGACGACGTCGACGACGACGACGGCGAAGATGATGATGAGGGTGGTGCTGGTGCTGGTCGACGCACTGGCGCCGCCAGTGGCAGTGGCAGTGGTAGCGGCAGCGGCAGTCGCATCGGCGCGTCTGATGGCGTGGCTGCTGATGCCGATGGTGGTACATCATCATCTGAGAGCGAGTCAACAACAACAACAACATCGCATTCAATTGGTGAGCGACGTAAAAAAACAGTAGTTAAATCAGCGGCACATGGCGCTGCCGCTGATCAGTCTAATTCCAGCTATACGTGTGATCTATGTCAACTTTGTTTCGATTCTCAGGAGTTACTGCAGTCACATATTAAAAGCCATTTTCTGAATGGGCCGTCGGCGGGCAGCAGCAGCGCCAGCGGCAGCAGTAGCAACAGAAGCGCCAGCCTCGGCGGCGGCGGCGGCAGCGGCAGCGGCAGCAGAAGCAACAATAATAATAATAACATCGACAGCAGCAGCAGCGCCAGCGGCAGCGGTAGCAGCAGCAATAACAAAACTAAAACCAAAAAGTCCGGCTTGGATGCAATCAAAAGTGGCAGTGCTGCAACAACGTCGACAGCAGCAACAACAACAACAGCAGCAAAAGTTGCAGCCGAAGCAGCTGCAACAACAGCAGCAGCGGACGCTGCAACCAGCTTGAACTGAGCTTGAAAAAAATGTACAAAAGCAAAAACAAAACCACACCGCACACATCCGCAACGCATTCCATTGCCAAACACAACATACACACACTCGCGCACATCCACACATCCATACATCCTCACACTCGCACACACACACTTGCTCACGCTCACGCATATGTATAAAAAATAGAAAACTGGGTGTGTATGTGTGCAATACCATTTTTTTTTTCTTGCTGTGCTAATTGCAGTGTTGGTAAACTTCTACCGCATATTAACTGCAAAATACAGATACACACACACACACACACAAGCAGACATATTAAGCTTACATATTTGATATAACATGAATACATATATCCGTACGTACATACATATATATATATAAATATATATAAAATACTTTTTTTTTTACATGTTAAATTAGTTGGTATCGCAGACAACAGACAGGCGCGGGAGTGTCTCCAGTTTTGAGTTTTAGTTAGTTAAGCGATATATATATATAAATATAAATATATATATATACAATAAATACAAATACAATGAATACAAATATTTAAGAGGTTAATGAAAAATTAGAATTGTCAAGCAAAAAATTACGACGATGACGACGCACCAAAGCAAACACAAACTGTAGAAGGCAAAAAAACAAACAAAAAAACAAAATAGGCAAACAAAAGCTAAAATTCGTTTTAGTTGTTAACGTACTTTAATTTTATTCCATTTTATTTTCATTGCTTTTTTTTTGCTGTTTTTAGCTTCTGGTTTAAAAAACCACTCTTCAGTTTTATATTTTCTCCCTTTTTTTTTTTGTTTATATTTTGATAAGTGTATATATTTGATAACATTTTAGTGCGTTGCTCTAATTTTGAAATTATCTCAAGGCGATTCCAAGTTTACAAATACATAAACGTCTGTTGGGACAGTAAATCGTTAACTCTTTCGACTCGCATAGTTTAAGTTACAAAACATTTATTAATTTCACACACACACACACACACACACAAACACACACACACACACACACACACACACACACACACACACACACACACACACACACACACACACACACACACACAAACACAAACACAAACACACACACACAAACACAAACACAAACACACACACACACACACACACACACACAAACACACACACACACACACACACACACACGGAGGAAAACCTTCACCAGCATACCATGTCCACCAGAGACGCATTGGGAATATTATAATTTCTTAATATTTATTTAAAATGTAAATTCAATATAATTTTGTTTAATTTGTTTCAACAAAAAACCAGTTCAGAAGGAAATGAATCATTAATTTTGCAGGCTTACAAATCAAGAAAAAGAACAACAGCACAGATCGTTCGGATATCCATCCAAGTCTGGTAAAATTTTGATATAAAAAGTTAACTTTTGCCATAAACGCAGCATTAGCATTTTGCCCCATTTAAACACTTAGTATGTAATGTGTATATTAATTATTTATATTTAATGATGCATTTCACAAATAATTCGTTTCATGCTTCATTATTCAGATAAATCATATTCGTATGTATGTGTATACACATTCGTAGATAAACAAAACACAAAAAAAAAGAAAGAAAAAAAATAGTGCATACTGCATATGTTAATTACGCTTACGAATTAATTAATTATTGCGATTGCAAACACTTACCTTTTACTTGTAAAATTATTTTTAAGGTTTATGTATGTAATTGGAAGCTAGTTTAAAACCAGATACAAATAAAAAGAATCGTGAATGAAACAAATGCATCTGCATTTGCCGAATTGAATACCTTGAACATTTTGAATTTCTGTTACAACATTGAAAAGAAAAAACAAATTGCTGCGCGCCAAGTTCCGATAACAGCTTTGGCAGCGACTGCTATCCAAAAATATATCGATATCGTTCTAGCTAACACGAGAACACGCTAGTCGCAAAGCTAACTGTAATGTAAAGTATTTGCTGGGCTTTTGGAGTCGTGCTTACCGTGTTGGTGTGTTGGTAAGGTTAAAGCACGGTCCATTAACATCATTAGCCAACACTGCTGCAAGCATTTACTATGTGCTTTTCCCATGCTCGACTTGTGCAACAGACAACTCGATGGAAAGAATAAAAAGAATTTCTTTGTTTGAATCAACTTGTATTGCACAATTTTAATAAAATATCAATGCATATTTATAAATATTTCTATAGCGTCTGCTTTAAACGGCTGCCATACAAAACATATGTGTTAATGCCAAATTGCGGCACAGGCACTCATAGTCTAAAGTTTAATTGTTTAAATATTTTCTATGCATTTATGTGGGGAAACTTTTCTAATTTATCTGGATGAGGCAATAGTATTATTATAGAAGTCGCGTATGTTATCAGATGCATTACAAGACGAATCATTAACAAACATACATATAATTAAAAGTGCAAAAACAAAAAAAAAAAAACATTACAAAATGTTAACAAGAAGCACAGCCAACGATGCCGTACAGTGTCATAAATACTAATAGAAACTAATTGTGTGTATTCTGTTACAAAGATATACATAGATAATTATGCTTAAACAAGATATTATAGCTAAATAATGGTGCATGGGCGAGAGAAGCTTTTGCCAAAATTACTCTCAAATCGAATCCATTGCTTCTAGGAGTACTGTGTATGTGGATTAACGTTTATCATCTCCATGTTGCTGCTATATATATTCCAGATGGGCGAGACAAAGTAAAGAAATAGATTAGTTATATTTTGAAATGATTGCAATCATAACTGGCGCTGATAAGCTGACGGAAATATGGTTATACTTATCGCGCACCAATAGCTCGTTTGCTTTGACAGCCATTTTGATATTTTTTTTATTTGATGGGACTTGAGAGGCATGAGCTTCAAATCAACTCAATGCTATGATGGAGGCGGGAAATGAAAAGTGTAGAATATATGTAGTTGTGTATCGACAATGTTAGTGCGATTTGTGTGGATGTGAGGCGGGTTTCAAATGAAAGAGAAGCCGTAACACAGCCGACAACTTACCTACGGCTGCAGCGCATATGAATGAAGAGGAGCGCCAGTCCAAGTATTAAACAAATGGCACCAACAACAATATAGGCAATACCCAGGAATGGATTTTTACCGCCCAGCACAGATGTTGTCGACAGAATCATACGCTTGGTGCCATCAAACGATACCACGGGATATTCTGCAAATAAACAATATGATAAATATAGTATCCTGCATCTACTAGAGATTAATACAACACTTACTATACATTACGTCCAGCGTGTATTCGCCGGCTTTAAGGCCTCTCGTAAAGCTATTATTTGTTTGATCCAAGCGACGGTATAGCTTTCGAAAACTAGGCAAGGCAGCAGTGCGCATCCACACGATTAAATCCTCGTTCTGAAAACCATTGTTAGCTTCATTTGTTTTATCTAATTCATAGAGTTCTTTTTGCCAGAATATGGGCTTTTCATATGGCTCCAAAGCCTTTTCCAGGTCGCCCGGAGGATTACGGAACTTGACGCGCTTATCCGATGGCCATGCAATGCCCGTATTTAATAATTTGATATTCGAGCTGCCTTGGCTCAGTGTCAGTGTATCTTGAAATAAAAGACACGACTTAATACATTAGGGGAACAAGCAGTAAAAGGTGCAGCATAAGATACCATTAAATAGGGAATTGGCGATGGCCCCGCAAGGCGCTATGGGTTTTCCATTATCAGCATAGGCGAATGGCGTGCAGTCTGAGCTTGGCGTTAAGGACAAGCGACCCAGCAGTTGTTCATCGTCTCGCGATTTCACATATCGTCGATGATTCTGATAGTAATTGGTCAGGCCATAGTACATGTACACGTCGCCCTGTTGCGTTAGAGTTCGAGTATTTAGAATGCGTTATGCAGTTGAATCGAATTGAATAGTTCTCATTGAATACTTGCAATAAAGTCTTCAGTCAGATTAAAGTTAATCTTGCACTCGCATTGGTCGCCCGGTTTATCCTCCAGAAAATCGGCGCAGGTCCTATTACTGTTAACCTGCATGCACCTAGTGTAGTCAATGATGAGCTCATTGGATGAATTGGATAAGTACAGCAGCACCACGCCAATGGGAATGAATAGGACACCAATGACAAAGAAGGTGGGCAGAACCGTTCGTGCGGTCAGCACGGGCTGCCAGGCGGGCAGGCGTTGTTGCTTAAAAGCTGAATCTGTTGGCGAAATCAAAAATGACTGTGATTCATGTTTGTGGGTGGGTGGGTGGCTGGGTGTGTTGTGTTGTGTTGTGTGCGTTTGGTGGGTTGTTAAAAGGCTCGCCTTTAAAAATCGATCACATTTGTAATGAGCACTCGGTTCAGTATTAGTCACTCTTTGGTCTCTTATCACAAATACACACACAAACGCACGAACACATTAGTCAGGCTGGGTGTCCAAGCTGTCCCATCAACAACTTGTTACTTGAGTGTGGGTGCTTGTATGTAAAGTCAACTCAATTTTCACCTGAAGGTCGTTTCGACTTCGGGGCTGCATTTTCTTCATTTCCCACATTTTGCGTCGACATGGCGCTTTATATACGGTACTGACGACCACCAATGCGACACAAATTTTAGATAACGAACTTGAAAATTAACCAGTCGTCACAAATTCGCTCACCCAAATACACAAATAATACAAGAAATTTCGCGTTTCAGAGATGCTTATCGATAAACATATATCGATGAGCAAAAAAGGAATAAGTAACAATGCAATTTAGTGTAAATATTAACACTGGCATATTAAAAAAAAATAATGGATTATTATTAATAACATGGCAAACATGTTTCAAGCCAACCGGAGAAATCATTTAAAGAATCTTTAAGCTGCCCTAAAACATATCTAACTGAACTACTAAGTGAAAATACCCAATTTGATCTTGATATCGATTCATCGGCACATAACGTTTTCGTTTGAAACAGTTGGCTGTGGAAAATATTTTTTTTATTTTTTTATATATATTTAAGTTCAATATAAATGCAGTTTTTATTTATTATTATTATTAATTTTTTTTTTTGCCAAAATCAATTATGTACCAATTAGCTGACTAGTCAGTGTATTTTCCAGCACTGCAAATAACATCGCATGCATTCATATATCGGAATCGTTGGTGTATATGCACATGCCCACCCATACCTAGCGGCAGCGGCGTTTTCGTTGTGTCAAAACAACAAAGCATAGGCAACAAAAAGCGAATCAAGAACAAGAAGGAAAAATAAAAAGACGACGAACGTGAAGCCAAGAACGAAATTCAAACGCATTTATTAATTTGCGCTGTACTGATACGCATATGCGGCAAACGCAACATACAACTTTTGCTCAGGGATCACAACTAAATACTGTGTTCAAAAAACCAAAAAAAAAAAAAACCATTGTGATCTGATAAACAACAGAAACGAACGCCGCCAACGCGATGAAAATCACCGTCACCACCACCGATGATAAACTTTTCTTTCTAGATGTTGCCGAAGATTTAGAACTGGAGAACCTAAAGGCACTCTGTGCCATGGAAATTGGCACTGAGGTTAGCCAAATTATGGTGCTATTTAATGGCCGCGAGCTGACCAATGACAAGCAATCGCTTCAGCAGTTCGGTGTGCGCGACGGCGATTGCATTGTGCTGGAGCGCCGTAGGAGCAATCCCAATCGTACCGGTGAGTTACTAACTCCACAATTCCAATCCCAACAAGATGCGCGCGAGTTGCTCTAACTGTTTAAACTAGGTCATTGCACGCGCTCTGGGCCGCTGCTCCTGGTCAGCAGTGCATCATTGATACGCCTGCGTGTGTGTTTCTGTGTGTGCGTATGTGTTTCTTTGTGTATGGTGCTTTTGGAAAATGCGAATTTTTAATTTAAAAATAAATATGTGTTTCTCTACACATTGCTCAAGCTATACTATAAATGTATTGTTGAGCTTTTTTGCACATTCCAAATTTTAAAGACAAAAAAATGCAAACACAGCGCAGCATAGCACAGTAAATTGAACCTCGCACACACTTATACAACGTTACAGTGTGTACTGTGACTGGCACACAAACACGCATGAACGGGCATGCATGCGCACATGTAAATGTTGATCTGATTTTGATAATTTACCTGCAATGCGATTATCGATACACACACACACACATAGCTAATCCAATTCACACGCACGCACATACGCATGCAGCTGCAGACTTTTTCAGTGTGACCCCATGCGCGTTTGGCCTTGCCTAACATGCCCACATACATATGCATGTGTGTATATTTTGTACACATGGGGTCGTTCATTGTCCGAATGCTTCAGTTTTTTTTTGTTCTCTTTTTTTTTTGCGCGTGGGCGCGCGCAATTTGCTATCTTTTTAAATTGACTGTCACTTTTTTTTTTTAATACTTTTTAGCCTGCACCCGAAGTGTAGGCGTTATTTGAATGCGCATTTACGCATACAACAGCCACATACATATGTATGTATGTAGATATGAGGATAATGCATATACATGCATACATAAGTTAAATTGATTAGGCTAACTCAAACATTCCAGTTCTTTGTACCTTTCCCTCCCACTCCGCCATATATGTACAATAGCATCGTTTGTTTTGTTTGTTATGTTTCGATTCCAGTGATAAATAAAATTGAAATATTTATTTATCCCGTAAAACAAAGAAAAATTGGTCGAAAATTATATAAACAAAATATTTATCGTCGAAGATTATACATATACTATTTACACATACATATATATTCATATACTAATCGCCACTTTCATTCGCAACTGATCCGATATTAATATTTCTGCTAGAGTTGTTGTTTTGTTGTTTTGTATATTAACTAATTTGAAGAGCTTTGCCATTGTTAAGCTTATAAAATTGCATAAGAATCGTTTCCTCTAATCTTAGAAGAATTACTATTTTTATTTGGTCGCGTCTCTGGATGCATGCAAAACTTTCTCAGATATGATTGTGAATGATTCGATGTAATGTTTGTGAAAGCAACTGCAATTTAAAATGTGCCCAACTATTTCAGCTGGCAACAATCCATCGATAAGTCATCTGGATTTTAGCAATATTGCTGTGCCCGGCACGAGTACAACAGGTGGCAGTCCGCCCGCACAGAATGCCGCTGCCGCCGGCACGCCCGGCCCCGTCAATATGCAGCAGCAGTTGCAGCAGCAGCTGCAACAGCATCTGGAGCAGCAACAGCTCACCGATGTGCCCATGACAGATGAGTTCAATGTGAACTTTGATGATGATCCGGCGATAGTGCGTCAAATGTTCTTGAATAGTCCGGAGACGCTGGCACTGCTGCGTCAATACAATACGCGGCTGGCCGAGGCACTCGACTCGGGCGATTCGGAGACATTTGCGAGAGTTCTGCGGGAGCATATTGCGGAGCGGAAGCGTCGCAATGAGCAGCGCATGCGTATGCTCAATGCGGATCCGTTCGATGAGGAGACACAGCGGCTCATTGCCGAGGAGATCAAGCAGAAGAACATTCAGGACAACATGGCAGCGGCCATTGAATACAATCCGGAAATCTTTGGCACTGTCACAATGCTGTGAGTATATCAGACTACTATATATGACATATCATATTAAATTCACGATTCTATATCTATCGCTCACAGTTACATCAACTGCAAGGTGAACGGTGTGCCGGTCAAGGCCTTCGTCGACTCTGGCGCACAGACGACAATCATGAGCAAGGATTGTGCGGAGCGCTGCCATGTTAATCGTCTCATTGATACTCGCTGGAACGGCGTCGCCAAAGGCGTCGGCACACAGCCCATACTGGGCCGCATACACATGGTCCAGCTACAGATTGAGAACGACCATTTGACGTCCAGCTTTACAGTGTTGGGCCAGCAGCCCATGGACATGCTATTGGGCCTGGACATGCTCAAGCGTCATCAGGTGAGTAAAAGATATCGTATGGCCCAGCACATGCAAATTAAAATAATAATATTGTCTTCTTAAACTTAAAATTAAATTGTGACTAGCTAAGCTTTAGCTGTTTAACATAGAAAGAGCCCACAACTCATATAAATATATATATGACTGTCTCTCTCTTGTCGATTGCAGTGCCTTATCGACTTGCAGCGCAATTTGCTGATCATTGGCACCACAGGCACCTCAACACCTTTTTTACCGGAAAGCGAGCTGCCAGCCTGTGCCCGGCTCACAGGCAATCCAGAGGATAACGAACAGCAAGCCATTGCCCAGGCAATTGAGCAGAGCAAGCGCGAAAGTGGTGGAGCCAGCACCAGCAGCGCCATGGCCACGGCCACAGCCGCAGCTGCTGCCAGCACTGGGGCCAACTTTGATATAAGCAATATTAACTCAATACAGCCGCTGGATCGTTTCACGGAACAGGATGTCAACGATTTGATGCAGCTGGGCTATCCGCGGGGCGATGTGCTCACTGTATTGAGGCTGTGCAATGGCAATAAGGCGGTCGCCAGCTCGATGCTGCTCGGCCGGAATGCGGCCGCCGGTGGTGGTGGACTTAGCTGAACACTAACTCCATGGCGTTCAGCTACTGCACCTCCTCTACTGCTCTGGGAACAATCAAAACCTTACTGCAATATTAGAACCATCATCAATGCCACCACCACCACCACAACAACAACAAACACAAACAGAACCACAACGAATTCAAAAGCAATATCAACACAATAACGATTCCGATATAATATAACATAGTTTTGCTATTTGAATTTAGAGCAATTTTTGTCAAACTAAAATCATTTTTATATACATATAAACTTAAACGTGTCTTTGTACAATAGCTAATTAATCGAGAGATTGAGAAAACTCATATGCTTATCTTTTTTCTAGCACTTAAATTTTATTAATTCGAAAGTCGACTTTTATCTGTCTGGGAATGCGACCAGATTGCAAATACAACGAATAACTAATTTGAAACATATTGCAAACTATGCCTGACTATATAAAATACGCACTATAATTATACAAATTTGAGCTAGTATTAAGACTATAACCATAACAAAATAATGTGAGAAGTGAATTGGTTAAATAAAATGAGAATTGTTTTGGATTGGAATGGAATGAAAAGGCTGCCCTCGAAATTGTACTTGTACTATTCTGTCTAATTTTGTGATTGCCCGCTAACTGGAACTTTCTTTAAGAATATCTGCCTATCAAGTTCCGGTTTCCCAGAAAATTGAAAATTAGCGATTCATATAGCTTTTGGCCAGGCATCAAATATACTTGGTAAAGATTATGAAATCATTCGTAATATTGCAATCCGATCTTGATGCTAGATAGATTCAAAAACTGACCGAAGGCAGCTGCTCTTTTTTTTCTTTGTGGTTGTTGGACAATTTCTTTTAGATTTTATTTATGTATTATTTATAAATGTATAAACCATAGCATGTACATATGTATATATCTACACATATTCTAGTTAAAGTCTCTGGCGCCGACGATGATTTGGAAAAAGTAACAGTCAACGGCTTTAATGAATGCACCTGCTTCGGGAGTTTGTGTTCTATTGTTTTTTTTTTCTTTTCTTTTTCTCAGGTGTATATGCCCACACACATACACACACACCACACTCACATACACACGCACGCGTGTCCATACAGTCCATATACATATATAAATATAAATATATTATACATATGTATATGTATAATGTACATATTAATTTATTAATTCTGCTCTTGTTGTTATGCTGGGTGTTGTTGCTTTAGGTCGAATTGGTGTGATTTTTTGTTTTTGTTATCATCTACTCTTCATCGTCGTCTTCTTCGTCGTCGTCCTCGTTGGCACGCAGTGTAGAGCTTTTGTGATTGAATTCCTTCTCGGGATCAAATTGCATACCCTCCTGATCGGCAGCATCTTCTTCGTCATCATCGCCAGCCACTTGAGCGTTCTCAGCCTCGGCGCGCTCCAGGCGACGCGCAAGATCCGCCTCGTCAATAGCAGTAACAAGCTTGGGCGCCATTATTACCTTGAACTCGCCCTCGAATTCAATTATCTTGGCGCGTATGCTCTCAATGGCCACCTCCAGTGCCTTGAGTCCGTCTGTCTTCTTTGTGGTGGATGTGGTCATCACATAGCTAAGAGGAAATTAATCAATGTGTGAGCATTTAGTTCAATTCAATGTTGACTTACAGCGGCGGTGCTATCAGATTGATGCGTATGGGAAGCTCCTCTGTGCTCAGCTCGAGGCCTTTGCTGAGCGATGCTTTGACTGCATCGATGCCCTCATAACCATAGCACGAGCACTCGATATCGGCGCGTATTTTGACTGTGGGCGAGACTAGTTTGCGTTTGATGTTGCTCAGCAGCACCTCCTTCGTCTCCGCATCCAGATTGCATTCATCGAAAACGGATGGATCGGTTACCGATTGCTTGAAAATGTCATAGGCGACCGTTTTGCTGTTGTATTTCTTTTCAAAATACCAGGCGGTCTTCATGTAGAGCTCCTCCAGCTTCTCACTGCTGTCGTAGCCCAAAATATCAGCCACATGGCGCAACAGGGAGTTGATTGCCTTCGCTTTAGCAAATCTCTCGGTACACTTCTCCACATCCTCGGGCGAAACACGACGTTTGGATAGATCAATATAGCCCTTCTCCTTATCCACACGTATGACAACAACTGGCTCTGTTTTGCCTACGCGAATCAATTTGTTAATGGAGCGTATGCGACGACGAGACAGCTCTGAGAGCAAGATCATGCCCTCAATGTTGTTGTACTCCAGCAAATGGACGTAAGCGCCCATTTCGGCTATGGAGAGCACATTAACCATGACGACATCTTCGATCTCCGGATATTTTTCATTGTAGAAGCGTGACGTTAGTGCCATTTTGCTGCGTTTGAGTACAAATTGTATTCAGGTTGATTATATGCGCAAACTGAAGAGAAAATGCCAACAAAATTGCAGCAAAAACGTGTACAATTCGGCCGAAACAAGGCGTAAGAAGAAGCAACGGAGCGGTAACAGTGTTGTTTAATGACAAATTGGGCGAGTTTTAGGCGGCGAATATGCATCGATATATCGATAGATATTATTCTGTCATTCTGTCAGTGAGACAAGAAAACATATTAAATTGATGTATATTAAATGCGCCAATTTTGTTATTCAAATTGCAATATCCGTCATTATATAATACAGATGAAGATTTTTAATGCAGGCCAACGATATTGTCATTCCGTGGTATTTAGTGTTGAGCAATGCGGAAGGTACCTTCGGCGAATTTGTTGTAAGTGTTGCTTGTTAATGCACCTGAATGTGATTTTTAATCAAAAGAATTGTATTTAACTGCGGCAACTGCAATAAATATATGCAATTTCATTCAAATATTTTTGAGCGAAACTTCAAGTGTGATAGCGGTTTCAAGTAGTGGGTGTTTTCCCTAGCGCCGCTAGCATATAGTGTGTACACACTGGAGCGCGTGCACACGGCGACAATCTTGGTAGTCAGTCTGCGGATTGCAGCGAATTCGCTCATTTGAAAAAAATAAAACATGGCTGGAAGAGGTGGTTATGAACACGCTAGGTAAATATTATTAAATAATTTAAAAACAGTGCTCGCCAGCAAGCCGAAATTGTGTATAAAAGGTGCAAGTGCGTTCGCCGTGTGTGCCCAGCAAGTGCAGAAGTGCTCCAATGTATAATAATGCACGCGGTTTAAGCAAAAGTCAAGCAACACGCACACACACACACATACACACACGAAACACAAACACACACGAAACACAAACACACTTACGCACACACACACACCCTAAAAATGTACATGCATACACACATACGTGCGTGCGGCAGTATGTGTACGTGTGTGCTCGCAAGTGTGCGTGTTCTTTTTTTTTTTTCTTTTTTCTTCCACATTTCTTTTTCTTTGCTATTTTTTTTCGGACGATTTGAGCGCTGTCGCCCGTTGGCCGATGCCGCTGCCGACGCCGACGTCGGCGGTACGCGATTTGCCTTTGGATTTAACTGGCAAAGTAGCAGCAGCGCCAGCGCCGCCTTCGATAGTTATGGGCGGCTTTAAATAGACATCCAGATTTATAGGCGAATTTCTGCACAGTTTTTGCCGCAACATAATTAAAAGCGCGCGCGTTTTTGTTTTTCTTACAATTTTTGCGGTTTGTGCTTTTTGTTTTTACTGCAGAATATATTGTCTTTCTTTTATTTACAAAACGTTGCGCTCCGTTTTGTTATTGGTGATGTTTGCTTGTAATTCGAGCGGCAACTGTTTTTGTTTTATTCGAATGCGTTCGGTTCGGCTCCGGTTCGGTCACACGTGCGTTTACGTCGCAGCCGGGCCGGCGCCTGCTGCTGCGGTTGTTGTTGTTGTCGTCGGTTGTAGTTCGCCCACTAACCGCTATTTGTTTTGTTTGTTTTTATTTAATTAAATTTGATTTTTATTTTAGAGGTGGCTTTGGAGGCGAACGGCATGTGAAGCAAATGCCAACGGAACCCCCATTTATTGCGTACGTGGGCAACTTGCCACAGGGTCTCGTTCAGGGAGATGTTATGAAAATATTTAATGACTTCGAGGTGAAAAACGTGAGACTGGTCAAGGATCGCGAAACGGATCAGTTTAAGGGCTTCTGTTATGTTGAGTTCGAGACGCTGGACAATTTGGAGCGTGCCCTCGAATGTGATGGTCGAATAAAGTTGGATGATCTGTCGGCCCCGCTGCGGATAGACATTGCCGATCGCAGGAAAAATGAACGGTAAGTCGGCCATCTCATATTCATTGATAGATTTTCGCCTAATCTCCTTGTTGTTGCTTTGTATAGCCCTGGTGGCGGCATTGGCGGCGGCGGCGGCAATGGCGGCGGCATGAGCCGCGATGGCGGTCGAGATGGCTTCCAGAAACGGGGACCACCACGTCAGGGCGGCAGCAGTCAATCGTATAGCCGAGGCGGTCCTGGCACCGGCGGCGGTCGCGAGGCCGGCGGCGGCTCTGGTAATCGTGGCGATAGTAGAGGTTCGTACAATGATAATTATGGTGGTCACAGTGATAGAAGTCGTGGCGGCGCCAGCTCCGGCATGAATAGAGGATACAATGGTAAAGCATTTATTATCTGCCACGCAAGTGCAACCTACTACAACCTCCAACCAAATACGTAGATGCATATTCGTAGTCCTGAACAAAAAACCTACCAAATTGTAGTTCGCCAAATTCGCATGGACAACAAAAGAAAATGAAAACCACATACGCGCAACCTTAAAGCGGCCAGCATCTGCATATATATATATACATATATATATAATATATTGACCCACCAGTTTCGAACTCATATATATATATATTTCTTTGACTCTATCATGCACTTTTTGTTTGCCTAGTCGTTATATTAAGCCTTCTTCTACCCCTAACTTCTTTTCGATACAAATTTCACGTTTACTTTGCGCTGGAATACGAATTTAAAACCGGAACGGACCATATAGTTTCTGGCATTATTTTCTCTTATTTTAATTTTTGTATTATTCTATTTCTTTATATTTTACTTTTGGACACTGTCCGATGTTTTCTCATCCAAATTGGTTGTATTTAGTTTGTTTCCGTTCTATCCACGCCGGAGCAGCTATTTGCCTATATATTATACTTATTTATATTTAGTTGTGCCTAAAACCTTTGAAATTTCTTTTAATTTACATACATATTTATGCACCACATCTACACATAAATAATACTCAGGTTTATTTAAGATACAAATTGATTTCGAATGCAATTGTAGCACGCTTCAAATAATATAATATGATTAATATTATACATAAGTAAAACTGGGCTCTCCGCATGCTGCTTGATACCATGGCTCGATTCGTAGTTTAATACTAGGCAGTAGACAGCCCGTATCACTAAACTGAAGCCAAATATATATTATAAATAATATATATATATATATAAATGTATACATATGCATATATATATTTACAATATGCACGTTTTTGCAGATCGCCCGGCAAATCGCGGCCGTTATGGTAATTTCAACAATGACGAGCGCTTTGATCGCAATCAGGATCGAGATCGTGGCCAACGCGAAGGCAGCTATGGTAACCAGTCGCGCGATGGCGATCGGTATAACAACTTCAGCCGGCATCGTGACCGCGAGCGCACCCACTATAATCCCAACCAGCAGCAGGAACGTCCCAGCGGCGTTGCAATGGGCGCCATTGGTAACAATTCGATGAGGCAAGATTCCAATATGACTGCTAATAATTTGGATATTGTTGCAGATGATACGGAGCGGCCACGCCTCCAGCTAAAGCCGCGAACTATTGCGGCGCCCATTAACGCGGTGGCTGAAACCAAACAATCGGCCTCCATATTCGGCAATGCCAAGCCGCGCGAGGAAAAGCTTAAGGAGCTACAACAGAATATCAATCACAATGGCGATAACTAGGCGGCGGCTCTGGGTATCTTTAATATGCCTAAATGATATTTAAACAAACAGCAAAATAACAATACAAACAACAAACAGAGCTAATAAGAATGATAGGGGCATATATCATTTGTGTGAAAGAGGCGGAATGCATATATATGAAGAGTCGAGCGGATGAGATGGAAGCAAATGCAAAAACAATACAAAAATATAATTAATAACTACGCTATATACCTATTATATAAAAACGCTATGTACTATGCATACATAATACACATAAACAACACTTGGCTGGCCCTCTCCCCCGCGTCAGCCAAAGCAGCAAAGCAACTTACAAGAAACAAACAAACAAACAAACAATGCGAAATAACTTTCTTATCACATGAGTTTGCTGGAAATTGGAGCTAAAGAAACAATAACATCGGCGACAACAACAACAAATAACAACTTGAACGACAACACCAACAACAAGAACAACAACAACAACAACAAATAGAAATAACAACAATGGAAAGTCTTTAAATGTTAGTCTGTAAGCAGCGGTAAAGTTAGAGCCGTGCATATAGCTATACTGAGTATGTATAGTCCATATATGCGCGCTGCTATTTGTTAGTTAAGTAATGCATATTGTAAACCAAGAAAACAAAAAAAAAAAAACAAACAAAAAACAAAAACAAAAAACAATTACGTTCTTACCATTTAAGCAAAAAAAAAAACAAAACAAAAAACAGCAAAAAACTGAGAAAAAACGACAAAAAACAAACTAAAATTTGACAAGCGTTCAGCGTTAGCAAGCAGGCAGGCAGTTTATACAATTTATATAGCAAAAATACAAGAAAACACTAAAAAAACGAAAAATACTTAACAAAAAACCAAAAAAAAAAAAAAAAAAATCAAAAAACAAATATTAAAAAAAAAAAAACGAACCGCAGTGAAAACATAAAACACCAACTACGTACGTATTAAAATAACAAAAACAACAGCAAAAGCAAACAACAACTTTATATAAATATATATATAACATATATATATATATGTATATGTATATATATATATGTGAACTATGTAATCCAAGCAAACAGTTTAACTAAGTCGCGAATTCAATATATGACCACAATTCTCTTCTTTCTCTCTCTCTCTCTCTCTCTCTCACACTTGTTTGTAACACTTTTCTATATAATTTTTTTAATTAAACTTTTTGTTGATCAATTTTGTAATAATTTGTTGGCTACAATTGGCCCCGTTTTTATGCTCGACTGACAGACAGGCAGACAGAGGGAGGGACACGCCGGCGGCATTGATATAAAAGCAAAATTTTCTTCCTTGTAGATAATTTACATGCGCAGGGCAAACACACATATATATGTATATTAAGCGAAAGATATCAATTTAATAATATAACTATATATATATATATATTTTTTTTTTTAACTTTGGCGTCTAGCGACAACGGCGACGGCCGATTTTGAACACGTTTACAAATTATGAACTCAATTAAATGTTTTTCTTTTATTATTTTTTTTTTGTATTTTTTTTTTTTTAATAAAGCCTAAATCATTTAAATAAGTACACATTGTGAGCGTTCTTTTTTTTCAAAATGCGTGTCTTTCGCAATGCTGCCAACATTTTCGAGTCGTTTGCAACAAAATAAACGACGTATTTCTCTATTGTTGCAACATTACAGAACATTTAGACTGAGAGTTAATAACAATAAGCCGCCATTTCGTATTCTCTGACGTTTTTAACATTTCAACTGGATTCGGTTTTTAGTACATAAATGTTTTGCGATCTCCCGCACAATTAAAAAAAAAAAAAAAACAAAAAAAAACTAAATAGAAAATTTTTTAAACTAAAGCAAATAATCAGAAAAGTCCGTGCGAGATCTGTTTGGGGTCTTTAAAGTGTCGCCGGCGTAATTTCGATGCCTATTACAAATATTAAACAAATTGAATGTACATTTTCTTTAATTTTTTTTTTTTAAACTTATTTTGTATCATAAAACATAAAACGAAGAAAACTTAGAAAAAAACAAAAAAAAGTAAATAAATAAATAAAAACAAAGTGGGGTAAACACTAAGAAAACAAATATTGAAAGCAGTTCGCGAAACGAAAAAAGAACGTAAACTTTTTATAATTTTAGCTCTAATATTAAACGAAAGTCAAAGATTTACCTACTAATAAAGCGTAGACAAACAAGTAGCAGCGGGCAATTAAGCAAAAAGTAAAAATTAAAAAGTAAAAAATTAAAAAGTAATATTTGTATTTAATTAACATTTAAAGTCCCATCCAGAACGCAAGCAACGTAAAGTTAAAATTTATTTAAATTAACAATAAAAAGAATATATATATATATATATATACCTAACTATCCGAAGTATATGTATGTAATTTAGAACTTTGATATGCATTTTAAATGACGCCCAGTACGAAAATCGATGGAAAATTTAAGTGAAAAGAAAAGAGAAAAAAAAACAAAAACAAAAACAAAAACTGAAAACATTAAAATAAATATAAACAAAAAACATAAGAAGAATTTATACAATGCAAAAAATAGCCGTTAAATTATGTCTTAATAAATACGAATATGAATATGAATATGGCATATATATATATATATATATGTATATGAATACGAATATATGTATATGTATATACATATATCTATAAATATTTAATAATTAATGACAAATTTAGCGCAGAGGTTTAAGCTATTCGCATACAATACAAAAAGTGTAGCAATTAATAATCTACCATGGCAACAATTTCTATAAATTATTTATTTAGCAAAACGAATTAGCACTCGATACTAAAAATAGTAAAAACAGCAATAACAAAATTAAATACAGAATAGTCTCATAATCCAGTTCTAAATCGAAATCCGAAACACGTATTCTTCAACTAAATGATGAGAGGATCAGTTAACAAACAAAAAGCAACAATTCAAACATTACATAATTTAAAAATTCTTAACAAAATATATATACATTATATATATATATATATATTTTTTGTTGTTTGAACATTTTGTACGATATATATATATATACATACATATATATAAACAAAGCCATGTGTTTATTTTCTTGTCCTAACCAAATGGGTTGCCCCCTACCCCCTCCCCCCTTGCCGACGCCCACGACTCTGCTCAACGCCCATCAAACAGGATGGATTATCGCCAGTGTTGGAACTGTTCACACGAAATCGATTACAAATTTATTTATCGGCATTTTCAATTTCGTGCATTTTTCCAAGTTAGAGTCTGCGAGGTAAATGCCTGGAATAATTGTTTTCGAAATTGAGAGCAAATTTAATTCAATTGAAATTTATTAAATTTCATTTGCCGCAAGTGAGAAGGGCGATGGTAAGTGGCGGAGCCGCAGTAGTTAGCCGCCATTTAAATTAGTTTTTTAGGTCGTGATTCGCGTGACTAAGTGATTACGTCACGCGCTCATCACAAGCAGTAAGCGCATACTATATATATACATATATAAGTGCAACAACATATTGCGAATGCTTGTGGCTTGTATGTACATACATATGTATTTGCCTGTACGCGTTGGTCAGTCGCTTTTTAAAATGGGGCCAATTGGAATGTTAGCCAAGCCCGCACTCACACACACACATACACACACACAGGACAGTTGGCAACTCTGGAAGGTGTTTGGCGCGTCGCTGTCTCCGCCGCTGCATGATGTCATCGATGCAGCGCACAGGCTGCCAATTACGACACACTTACAAGCACACACACACACACACACACACACACACAAACACTTACGCATTGACATACATGCGTAAGGGATAAGCGCGTGCATTGCCAACTACGCATATACGTATGTATAGACCTATGCATATATAGATACATATGTACATACATACAATATGCAGAGATGTTAAACAAAAATAAATGGCGGTTGCTGTGTGTGTGAGCACGTGTGGGTGTGCTGTGTGTGATATATTTCGTTTGGCTTTTTGATGAATTTTTCAGCACTTGTCAGTTTTGTTGTTGTTGTTGATGTTTGTGCTTGTGTGTTTTATTTACCGTTATCAGCGCGGGCATAATGACGCCATAAGAAGGCCGAAATACAACAACAAAAATAGGGGCAGCCCACAATATTAGGCAACATTTGAGCTGTATGTGTGCGCCCGCATAATTAATAGGCATTTAATTTGCATTTAAGCGCTGCTTATGAAAATCAATGGCAGCAACCCGCAGGAAACGCTCCTGCTGTTGTCCTTGCCAGAGACTTTACTTTTGTCTGAGCTGTCCAAGTCATAAACACGCGCCTAAATATATGTTTATAATGACGCTTAAAACAATTTGCATTTACATAAATAATTTGCATTTTCCCTACTTTTTTTCAGTTGATATAGTTGAATATTTATCTATCGAATATTTATTATTTTAGTCCAAAGAAGAAGCTGTTCTTTAAGTTTTAAATTGTATTCAAACTCTGGTCAGTTTTCTCTACATTTATTTTCAAATAATTGCTTCCATTATATAATTAAAACCTTGATGCGTTCATAAAAAAGCAAATGTGAATGTGGCATATGATAAAACTGTGCCACAAAATGCCCTTCAATTAATGTTATTAACCCATTTCTGCCCCCTTAAATTGCTGCATTTCCTTGGAAAATTTGTGTCAATTAGCTGAATATTGGCAACATGCGGATAAGTGCAAACCGTTTATCAGCAAAGTAGTACGTGGCTTTTGCCGAAAGGAATGTTCTGCATTGTACGAGAAATGTCAAGAAAATGCAACACAAGCCAATGCTGCAGCTCTGCTTCTTGTTCCCTTGGCCCCATACCATGTTCGGAAAATGGATTCTCGATTAACTTTGGTGCTTATTCATTTCATTTATTCATTTCATTAATCTAGGCGTGAGGCATGCTTAAAGTTGAATAGCCTGGATAAGTGTATAAGTGTATACGAGATACAACTTCGAGATGTGCTCTGAGCCCCTTATTTAAACTTTGATTTTTATCGGTTTCATGGAAACAGATTGAGTTATCGATGATTCGACATAATGTTGATCGAAATTTAATGTCTCTAGCACTTATCGGTGCGCTTGTACAAACGGGTCGAGCTGCGTACATGGCTCGGCTGTTAATGCTGACCAAGCATGTATATGTGCATACATACATATGTATGTACATATGCTTTGCGGCGCATTTGACAAAAACTCAGTGCCCACACATATAAAAATGAAATGTTATCATAAATTCTTTTCAAGGAACCCCAGGCGAAAGACATACATTTTCGTGGATACCATGTGGATCGTAAGTGGCAATATGCCTATGCAAGAAATGCAGCGAGAACCCAGGCGGCCGCCGTTCATCGCCCGCAGCGCATTGCAGTTAACCCCGAAAAGAAAGAACAAAAAAAAAAAAAACAATGAAGCAAATGGCATCAGCAGTTACAGCAGTCACACAGGCAACACACACACACAGCTACACAATCGCACACACAGGCACACACACTTTGCATGTTGGGTGCTCCATTTAGAGGCTGTTTGGCTGAGTGCCTGCCAAAAAATCAGTCAACTGCATGCAGCAGTTGAGCAAATCGCGTGCCGTACATTTGGCCCCCTCCCACACAGCGCCCCTGCGGCCCTCTGACAGATCTTTGCTCTGGTGCAGCTGCACTGGCACATGTTGCTTGCGGGTTGGGGGAGGGAGGGGCGCGCACGAATGTCTGCCCC